TCTCTGGACCTGCTGCCACCATCTCTGGAGCATTCTTTTCACCAGATGTACAGCCAGCAGGCAAACCCACCACCACCACCTGTTGAAGAAGATCCTCCTCCACCACCACCTGCTGTGGCTGCCCAGGCACCCTTGCACAATGACATTTACTATGGCAGGGTGAGCTGAGCTGCCATTTCTGATTGCAATGCATCAGCAAGCTCATTTGCATTCATTGCTGCTGATTTCAATTGCGGCTGATGCCAACTGCAGGTCCAGCCCAGGCCTGTGACTCTGCCACCCCACAATTTGACACCTGATCAATTGAAAGTCAAGAGATTATGGCTACATGCCATCTCTCCCAGCAAATGCCAGCAGCTGGCCCCACAGCTCAGAGCATTCAAAGACTATATCATTGTTGATGTCAGGCTGGACAAGGGCCCTGGCCTTGAATCAACAGGAAACCAGAAGTGAGCTGGCAGCACAGGGTGTGCTCAAAAGTGGGATGGCAGCTACATTTCGTGCTCAATGCCTCTTTGCCCAATGGTGCAGGACCTGGAATAATATTGTACAGCACAATCATGGTTTTCTGGGCTTCTGCCATACACATTGCATGAAGGAGGGGGAGAGGCTGGGTTTGTGGGTCTTCAGGGACAAGTTTGTGACTGGCTTCTTGAGATACATTTCTTTTCTCAAGGCCAGAGGCAGAGGTGGACATTACTTGAGGAAAAACTGCCACACAGCACTCAGGCATCTCCATTTCTTGAGGGCATCATCGCCAATGCCTTACACAGCTTTGGAGAATCAGCAATTCAAGGAGCAGCTGGACATGTTGAACACCCTGAAGTGGCAGCTCAGAAAAATAAGCCATCATGTGCAATTTGATTACAAAGCTTTGATGGATGGTGCTCAGTGGAAGGATGCACCAGAAATTATTGCTTTCATTGAGCAGCTGAAGGAGCAGGCATGCACAGCATTCAAGGTGAGCTGGCACTGGGCCCTGCCTGGGTGTCGTTGCGCAGGCAGTCGCTGCCGCCAGTGCGCTCGAGGTGCTCTTGATGTGTGTGGCAGGGCATCTTGGCAGCATTGGAGATGTGGAGGTGTGGTTGTGTTGGCTGATGTGGAGACTGTCGGTCTGGAGGTCGATTTGGGGTGCTGGAAGGGATGGGAGGGAGTGGTAGAGGTGTTTCTGATGGGGAGAGGAGGGGGCAGGGCTGCCTGGAAGCTAGACGGTACCTGTACGTCGAATGTACGGTACTGTATGGTACCCATGGAACCACCTCATCGACACCAACCCACTGCAACTTTCCCAGATCGAAACACATGCAAGGGCATCGAAGTACCCCTCGTCAAACATGCCTGGCACCACTTCCTGCAAACTGCTAGCAGCCAGGGGTGGTCATCCTCGAACTGAAACTCCATACAGGCGTCGATCAGACAAACGTGCTGATTGTCACATTGTATTCATCACACAAAGGGCTGCGATCCACCCTTTCAAGGGCTCGAATTGGCTTCGTATAGCATGTTTCAGGGCATGTGCACCTGGCCAACTGGCACGTTCAATGACAGGCTGAACCTGCAACGTAGCTGTGACGTGCTGACGTGGAATCTCCTGTCAGCACCGACGGTCTTTTAATCCTCACACTCATACCTACTAGATAAACTTTCAACAGCACAAATTGAATGCATACACACCACTTAGCACACTGTGCACACTTTGATGCACGTCGACGCCAATGCAAACAACCCGACGAGAGAGGCGCCCTTCTTGCCAAGCACCTCAGGAGCCCCACAAACCACTCCAACTCAACCACACACCATGTGTGAGGATGTGGGAAGGACGGCTGATGTTCGTTCAAAGTACACTGAGCAGACCTGCCACCACATGGCCTCCATCTGCGGCAGGGGCGGGAGCGGCGGCGGCATGTGTTGCTGCAGGTCCGCACCAGCCGGGGCTGCCCAATCGATGGCGCATGGCGTGTGCAACTGTCTGACAACGGCGGGCAGGATTGCAGGGCCCTCTAGGCGCCGGCCAAGCCGCACTACACCAGCGAGGTACACTGCCCGGACTGTCTGGCCCGCGCCAGCACCAACGGCAGCACAATCCCTGACCTTTGCACTCTCCTCCAGCGATCCAAGCCCTCTCCCTGCTTGCCAGCGTGCTACAGGCAGCCTTCCGGAACGGCGCTGGGGCAGAGCTTGGTGAAGCACAGGCGCTGCGCCATCAACTTGGGGCAGCTGTCGGGAGCCTGATACAAGCGGCAGCAGCAAGCGGCGGGCCCGATCGCCGCCAATCTGCTCGCCGGGCTCCACAAACGGCTAGCAGCCTGCATCGCCTTCAAAACGACAGCTGCCACACCCCCTGAAGCCAATGGCACGCGCCGTAACAACCGCCGTCGCCGGCCAGGTGGGGGTCCCTGCTGCCGCCGCCGCTGCCGCCAGCCTGCGCTGCCGCCGCGACAGATGCCTGGACTGGCTTGCACCTGCCTGCACCACTGCCCTGCACATGCACTCTGTGGGGGCAGGAGGCCAGTGTGATGGCTGCAGAAGGGGTGCTATACCACATGCATTGCTGTTGCACATGGATGGGGTGGGCCCGGCGCCGCCCCGCTCGCGCACCGACCCGCGCGGCGCGCGCGAGTGGTCTGCTGCAGCCTCTGCTGTCTGCTGCTGCACACACATGCTCCCTGGCACTATTTCTTGCTGCTGGAATGGGCTGGGAGGTGCAGTCATGCAGGGACAGGGGTGCCTGGCACCTTTGCGGCGGCGGCGGCGCGCGACGCCACCGCGGCCTCGCGCGCCGCTGTCACACCACAGCTGGGACAGCCCTGCTCAGCCACCCTGCCACACACCCTCTCCATGCTGCAGTGCTGAAGCAATGGCAGCTGGTCAGCAGGATGACCCATCACAAAGTTCTGGTGAGCAAACATGCAATCGATTCATTCATTCATTCATTCATTCAGCAAGGATTCATTCATTCATTCAGCACACAGCCCGGCCGCCTCTTGCTCGAGGGCGGCCCACTTTGGCCTGGGCAGCCCGGGCCGCCCTCCCCCCCGGGCGCATGTTCGGTGTTGGAGGGGTGTGCCCAGCGATAGGGGGCCCCTGAAGGCATGCGCCGAGGCCGGGAAGCGTGGTTCGGCGCTGCTGCACGCTTGGCGATTTGACCAGAACCACGTGCCGCCGAGCTGCGGCCGCAGTTTCCGGCCCACGGTCTACGGTCGCAGCCACGGGACTCGGCGGCACGGCGTTTGGGCCCAAGCTTGCTGCCGCCGCCGCCGTGCCCGGGGGGCAGCGCGGCGGCGGCGGCGGCACGCTGCGACGCCCCCGTGCTGCCGAGCTGCGGCCGTAGTTTCCTGCCAGAAGCCCACGGCCACAGCCACGGGACTCGGCGGCACGGAGTTTCGGTCCACGGCTTGCTGCCGCCGCCGTCGCA